GCAGCGTTTCGTGGCCCCATATAGGGAGCTCCACCGAAGGCCCCAGTGGCGCAGTTCGCATGCGGTTCCCCCACCCAGGGCAGCGTTTCGTGGCCCCATAGGGAGCTCCACCGAAGGCCCCAGTGGGGGTGTTCGCATGCGGTTCCCCCACCCAGGGCAGCGTTTCGTGGCCCCATAGGGAGCTCCACCGAAGGCCCCAGTGGGGGTGTTCGCATGCGGTTCCCCCACCCAGGGCAGCGTTTCGTGGCCCCATAGGGAGCTCCACCGAAGGCCCCAGTGGGGGTGTTCGCATGCGGTTCCCCCACCCAGGGCAGCGCTTCGTGGCCCCATGGGGAGCTCCACCGAAAGCCCCCGTGGCGCAGTTCGCATGCGCTTCCCCCACCCAGGGCAGCGTTTCGTGGCACCATAGGGAGCTCCACCGAAGGCCCCAGTGGCGCAGTTCGCATGCGGTTCCCCCACCCAGGGCAGCGTTTCGTAGCCCCATAGGGAGCTCCACCGAAGGCCCGCCCCGGTGGCGCAGTCCGCATGCGGTTCCCCCTATCCAAGGCAGCGCTTCGTGGCCCCATGTGGAGCCCCACCGAAAGCGGCACCCACAACGCGTTACCAACAATTGCTTATGGTTGGGTCTTTCGCCAGGATAATTTTTTCGGAGGTCTCTGGGAGCCATCTTGCGTCTCTCTCGGGGTCCTGGCGGAGCCGTTTGAGGCACTCTTGGGGCCGTCTTCGGGCTCTTCTGGGGGTCTGGGGGCCCTATTGGGGCCCTTTGGGGGGATCTGGGAGGCTTCTTGAGGCAATTTTGGGCTCACTGTTCAAAAAGATGGGGGGCCTGAAATTCAGGTACCTTTTCGGAGGCTTACAAATGGCGTTTTGGGGCCGTCTTGGGGCGCTTTTGGGGCGCTCTTGGGCGCATCTTGGGGCCGTCTTGCAGCCCTCTTGGATCCCTCGTGGGGCTCTCTTGGGTCATCTTGGGGTCGTCTTGAAGCCTCCGAGGTCCATCGGAAACGAAAAGGCGAGAAGGCACACATGTTCAATTACCCGTTGGTTTTGGAGCCATGCTTGCCTCTTGTGGGGTCCTTGGAGGGTTAGGAGGGCACTTGGGGCCGTCTTGAGGCCTCTTGGATGTGCGTCGGAGGCTATATTGATCCATCGCGAATTATCTTGAGCCACGTGGACTCTGAGGCCCTCCTGGAGCCATCTACGGCGATCTTGGGGGCTCTAGCGCCTCGCGCCCCCCCCCAGGCCCAGGGGAGGGGGTAGGGAAGGAGAGATTTTGGGAACAGAGAAGGCGAAATTCGTGAAACTTCCTACGCCCAGAGGGCTGGTGGCATTCCACGAGCGCAAAGGACCCGCAGAGGGACCCCGATGGCCTACGGAGGCCACCGAAAGCCACGAACAGAGGGCAGCGAAGGCCTCCAGGGCCCTCGTGGGTACCGAAGGCCACCGTGGACAGCCGAGACCCCCACCGAAGACCCCGAAGGCCGCCGCGAGCCCGCCAAGGAGAAAAACACAGGCCGCATCGGGCCGATCCCTCCGAGGAGTGGCCAGGGCCGAAGCAGACATGGGCCAACTTGCGCCCAGCGACCCGCGAAATCCCACGCCACGCCGCCCGGGCGCTCCTCGATCGGAGGTCGGGAAGCCTCGGCCCAGCCCAGCCCAGCCCGACCAAAAGCAACGGGCCCCTCGGTCGCTCAGGGGCCGGGAGGGAGGAGGGGAGGGAGGGGGAGGCGAGGGCATGAGGAGGAGGAGGAGGAGGATGATGCTGCTGATGATGCTGATGTGGCCGATGATTATCATGATGCTGATGCTGATGTTTCTGCTGCAGCTGCTGCTGCTGAAGATGACGACGAGGCAGGGGAGGGAGGGGGAGGCGAGGGCATGGCTGGTTGGGACATCCGGGGAGAGCCGCCGGGCCCTTTGGAGCGCAGCCGCGGAGGATCCCCAGCACCTTCCGTCGGCCTAGATGATCATCATCATCATCATCATCATCATCATCATCACCATCATAATCCTCGTCATCATCATCATCATCATCGTCATCATCATCATCATCGTCATCACCACCACCACCATCATCATCATCATCAACATCAGAAGTATCATCATCACCATCACCATCGCCACCATCATCATCATCATCATCATCATAATAATCATCATCATCATAATCCTCGTCATCATCATCATCATCGTCATCATCATCGTCATCACCACCACCACCATCATCATCATCAACATCAGAAGTATCATCATCACCATCACCATCGCCACCATCATCATCATCATAATCATCAGCATCATCATCATCATCAGCATTATCATCATCAGCACCAACATTATCATCATCATCACAATCAGTATCCTCGTCGTTGTCGTCGACGTCGTCAGTATCAACATCATCATCCTCGTCATCGGCATCGTCATCATCATCGCCACCATCATCATCAGCAGCATCATCACCATCATCACCATAATAACCATAATTATTATCATGAGCAGCATCATCATGATCATCGTACTCGTCATAAACATCATCATCAGCATCATCATCATATTCTTCATAATCATCATAGTCATCGCCACTATCGTCATAACCATCACCGTCGCTATCACCATCATCATTATCATCTTCATGACCAGCAGCATCATCAGCATCATCATCGTCATCGTCATCATCCTCATCATCATCATCAGCATCATCATCACTACCCATCATCGTCATCATCACCATCGTAGTCATCATTATCCTCCTGATCTTCCTCATCCTCATCCTCTTCATCCTCCTCTTCCTCCTCCTCCATCCCTTCTCCTTACAGGTATCCCCCCGTCGCACCCTTAGACGTGTGGGTAGGGCGGGCAAGGCGTCTCGCCGTGGACATTCTCACCATTCATAACCCTGAAGCCTGAAAACTGCAACAGCTTCCAGGATGGAGCGAAAGCGGGCGAGGGTCGGGCTGGGTATGCGAATCCGGAGGCGCCCGTGGAGATGGCGCCCGTCGGCGTGGGACGAGAGGAGAACTCTTGCAGGCCTCGCTGCCCCAGGTGCTCCTCCGCTGCAGGCAGGATGCGTGCAGGGACCTGTCATGGACGCGTACGTCAGGTTCGTGTCGTACCGGCTTTGGAGTTGGTTTCTGACACCGCGGGGATCGTTCAACCTTGAACGATCGGCCGTTTCCGAAACGTCCAAATCGTTCCACATCGAACGATTCTTGGTCGCCCGCGGCGTTCAAAGTTGAACTCCGCTGGCGGGGTCGCCGCTGGTCGACACGACACGAACCTACCGTACCGCGGCGTCCACTTTGCGGGGCCGAGCAGCGTCGTGGAGGGAGGCAGGACTTGTCCCTCCCTCTCTTCTCTGTTTCGCCCCCCCGTCGGCTCCAACTACAGTCGGACTCGATCGGAGAGGACACAAGAGAGGACACGAGACCCTTCTGAGGGCCACTTTGCCACAGGAATGTAGCAAGCATTGGTCGCGAGACACAGGACACAAGTGCACCCCTGATTTGGCAGGGCCGACCTGATCACTATGTTGATGATGGAGAAGATTATGATGCTGCTGATGATGACGACGATGCTGATGATGATGATGCTGATGATGCTGATGATGCTGATGATGATCGCCATGCTGACTATGCAGATGATGATGCTGATGATAATGATTATGATGATGACGATGCTTACGATGATGATGACGATGACGATGACGACGACCACGATGATGATGATGAGGATGAGGATGAGGGTGATGATGATGATGATGATGGTGGTGGTGGTGGTGATTGTGGTGGTGATGATGATGACGACGATGATGATGCTGACGACGATGATGCTGCTGCTGTTGCTGTTGCTTCCGATGATGATGATAAGGATGATGATTATCATGATGCTGATGCTGATGCTTCTGCTGCAGTTGCTGCTGATGATGATGATGATGACGATGATGATGATGATGATGACGATGATGATGATGCTGATGCTGATGATGATGCTCATGATGCTGCTGATGATGATGATTATGATGATGATGCTGCTGATGATGCTGATGATGATGGTGATAAGGATGATGATGATGATGATGATGATGATGATGATGATGATGATGATGATGATGATGATGATGATGATGATGCTGATGATGATGATGATGATGATGATGATGGTGGTGGTGGTGGTGGTGGTGGTGGTGATGATGATGATGATGATGATGATGATGATGGTGATTGGAGGAGGAGGAGGAGGAGGAGGAGGAGAAGGAGGATTGCAGTGTAGTGCTGATGCCCTTAAGGGTAGCCTAACCCTTGTGAATCGGATGTGGCACTTGGGCTCGCCCACCCTTGAAATAGGTGGTCGATGTTGGTACCTGGCAATTGTGGGTGATGCGTGTAGCGCATATCCTGTGGCAGCCACCTGTGCCTCGTAGCACCGTGACCGAGGGGGTCAACTCATTTGGGTCAGCCGTCCCATCATCAGGGGACGGTTCATGATGGACCCAAGCATGATGATGTGTGACCGCAATGTGTGCACATATGAGCCACATGTTGTGTCAACATTGGTGCCGATAGAATGCACCAAACCGACGACTTTAAGCACCAATGTGTGTTCCCATGGGGGGCACGGTTTGTCCGCCCCACGGGGGGTGCAAACATAGCTCGGACTTCAACTGGACGGAAAACGTTTCCCGCACTTCGGTCCTCATGGGATGCTGGCGGAGCTTGTGCGGAAGATTAGGAGGAGGAGGAGGAGGAGGAGGAGGAGGAGGAGGAGGAGGAGGAGGAGGGAGGAGGTGGAGGAGAAGGAGGAGGATGAGGAGGAGGCGGCGGAGGAAGAGGAGGAGGAGGAGGCGGATGCGCATGAGGAGAAGGAGGAGGAGGAAGCGGAGGAGGAGACTGATGACCAGGGGACCTGAAGCAGTGGGACAGCAGGCAGGCCTCCCGTTTCTGAGCGGCCTCCTCATTGACCACCCCGCTTCTCCGCGTGCAGCCGCAGCGCGGCGCATCCGCCAGGATCCCTCGACAAGGGTTCTAGCAAGAACGCCGTGAAGGAGATCGGGTGCGGAGATGGTTGCAGCGCCATCATCGACAGTGGCACCTCGTTGCTGGCGGTGCCGGGTTTTATCATCGAGCAGCTTCAGGACATGATGGAGCAGCTTGACACCGACTGCAGCAACCTCCACGAGCTTCCAAGCCTTGTCTTCAACATGGGCGACGGCCAGTTCACCCTTCCTCCCGACTCCTACGTGGCAGAGGTGGTGGGCCAGCTGCCAAACTACCTGGAAGGCTATACGACAATGGAAACGGAACACAACAGTTCCGAGTCGATGTCGGAAGCTGACCCAGCAGACGGTGTGGGAAAGCGGGGCAGCAGGTCACGTTGCCAGCTGCTATTGATGGAATCCTACGCGAGCACCAAGTATGGTCCCTTGTGGATCCTTGGCATCCCTTTTTTCCGGAGGTACTACACGACTTTCAGGATCGGGGAGTCGCACAAGGACCGCACGCTGTTCATGGCGCCCTCCACGGACGATTGCTACGTGGAGGGTCAGGAGGATGGCCAGGCCTCCTTCCTGGACGTAGGGTCCAGGGACACGTACCTACGGACCATCAACGCATCATTCATCCACGCCCCGGTGCTTGCCCAGAGGGCGATTCAGAGGACGGCTTTTTTCGTGCTCCCCTTCTCGAAGATGGCCGTCGTGCTCCGCATTTTCGCCCATGCAGCCTCGCCCACAGACAGCATCATGCCTCTCTTGTCCTATGCAGCCAAAACGCTGAAATAAGAGCCAATTGGGGTTCGGGAGGGGCACGTTTTTCTCTGGCCGTTTATTCATCTACGTTGGGGAACTTGTTCGTGGCCGAGACATGCCGTCGCAAGAAAAGCTCTTTCGTTCCTCATTCAGCGTTCTCCCTGGTAACACGAATGCTATATCCTGCTCCAAGGGAGGAAAACCACCCGGACCCGATAATTGACGTTTACGAAACGGCTCTGGGCGTTTACTAAACAGCCTTGCCCTGTTCGATTCCTTCCTTGTATGCGTTGACTAGACGGCTTCGCCCGTCGGGGTGGATTTTCTGCCCTCTGCTGCTGGCTTTCCGCACTCTAGCCTTCCCCACGCGCCCCCGGCGCGCACTCGCTTGCGCACGCACGCGCGTGTGCTCGCACGGCCACGCCCGTGCCTCGAAGGACCATGCGCGCCGAGGGCCGGCGACCGCCTGCGCGCCCCTCGCCCGCCGACTCCCCGCAGTCGGGCCCCTTCCTCATTCCTCGGGGGCGGCAGAGAGGGGGGTGACGACTAGGGGGGGGGGGGGGGATCGTGGCGTGGGCCGTGATATTTCCCCAGATTTCATGGCGTGGGCCATGATTTGCACCCCCCCTCTTGGACGCCCCCCTTCGGGCCTCTCCCTCTTTCCTCCTCCGCGGCCGCTCTCTGCATTCCCACCTGCTCCGCGCGCTCCGCGCTCGGCGCGTCCCGCTGGACTTGTCCCTCCCGCCAGCGACCGCTGGCGCTGCCGATTAAAAGTTGAGGGCTGGCGACGCCTCCTGACTGGATCACTCGTTCCAGAGCGTCCCGGAACGCTCTCAGACTGAGTACTTTCCGGGGCGCTTTGAAACGGCCGTGGCGCTCGATACATCCTCCAGATTTCTCCTCATCCAAGTTTGAACCTCATCCTGCCTTCGTTTTAGAATATTGGGGGAGGTGTCCGCCACGTCAGTAGGATTTGAGTCGAGTCGTAGCCAGCTGTGTTAGGATTCAACAGGGCTGTTGCCAGCTGATGCTGGATCTGGTTGAGGCGGTAGCAAGCCAACTGTAGCCAGACCCTTCAAGAGTTGTGGCCAGCTGCAGGATTATCTTATTTAACTTGCAGCCAGCTGTAGAAGGATCCGATTAGGACTGAGATCAGCTGGATTCTAATTGAGCCGTGGCCAGCTGTAGCAGGACCTTGTAAGTGTTGTAAGCAGCCATAGCAAGATCCTATTCGAGCTTTGGCCAGCTGTGCTAGAATCTGATTAGGGTGGTAGGCAGCTTCAGCAGGATCCAGTAGATCTGGCTATAGCTGTAATAGGCTGTAGCCAGCTCTGGTAGTATCTATAGGGATCTTACGGGAACCCTCTGTTTTCGAGTCGGACTCTCCTAGGGCCCCCATGAGACTCAAAAGGATCCATGACGAAACGATCCGAGTTCCTTTAAGACTCCTCGTGCGAATTCTGTAGGAAGCGACCAGGATTCCCCAAGGACTTCAATTGTACAGTTTTTTATTCAGACGCCTCCGATGTGTTGCGTTGCGGTGGGGGGGTCATTCTGGATGTTCATCATCATAGACAATGACACCCTGGGGACATAATGCTCTGAAGAGCTTTCCACTGCTAAGATGGAGACCACGACGGGGGGTCACGAGGGGGGGCCACGATGAGGGGATCGGGAGAAGGATACAGGGCTAGGGATATAGGGGAGACAAATACGGATAGGGATATCGGGATAGGGATGGGGATCGGGATGGGCATGGTGATCAAGATTAGCGGTGTTCCAAGGGATGTCGGCTATGAGAAGGGATATCAGGGAAAAAGGTAGGGAAAGAGATCGAGATGGGGATAGGGATACGTATGTTGATAGGGGTAGGGACGCCTTCCTCTTCCTCCTCCTTCTCCTCCTTCTCCTTTTCTTCCTCTGCGCAAAGGGATGTGCAGAGGGTCAGATGGGGATAGGCACTGGGGTACGCATCTTGATTGGGACAGGGGCGGCAAAGGGATGCGCGGAGGGTCGTTGGGAGAAGACGGGAAGCAAGGGGAGACAGCGGAAGGCAGCGGGAGCCCCTGGCTCGCCGCCGATCCCGGGCCCCCTCCTCCTCTCTCTTCCCTCCTCCTCCTCCGCCTCCTCCTCGTCCTGCACCCGACGTCATCCTTGGAGGGGGGGGCAGGGGCACCCCTGGGCCACTGGTGACGACGGGAGACCAGGGGAGGCAACGGGAGACAGCGAGAGACGACGGGAAAGAGCGTCGCCCGATGGGCTTCCGATGCGGCAACGCGAACTCTAGGTTTCTGGGAAATTTGGCATTGAGCCCTTACATCAGGAGCGAAAGAAGGACGTACACGTACATGAATCCACGCTGGTTTCGGGAGTACGCATTGCCCGAATGTTCGTATCACGCGGCCAGTCTCGCGGATCGAGGGGCCGCGTTCATATACATAGCTGGGCGCGTACGCCCTTTGTGGGCACCCATTAGAGTCGAGTATGAGAAACGCCACGAACAAAAACTCTTGGTGCTCCGCGCGGATTTCTTGGATCCGCGCGCGCCAGGGAGGGGGGGTCCAGCGCAGATCCCAGACATCCGCGCGGAGCGCCAGCAGTTTATGTCTATGGTTGTGTCGGGCTTGTCTCTCTACAGATTCATGGAGACAAATAGTCTGGGACGTTTTTTCCGATGTTGTTTCAGTATTTTTTGCATTTTTGGAGTATGCTTGAGTTTTCGTCTATGGAGTTTTTCATTTACTAAACAGACAACCGTACAGGGCGACGCTCGGACTGGGGCGCCATGGCACCAGCAGAGCTCGGAGGGGCTCCGGTCCAGGCGTCGTCCCGCTTGCTGCGGGGCCCCTCCGGATTCGGGGGTTGCCACAGTGGAGCCGGGCATGCCCCTCTACGGGAGGAGTATTCCGAAATAGTGAAACAATAGTCTGGGGACGATGTTTGATTATTTTTCGACTATTTTAGTGCATTGTGCGTATATTTTTCAATTTTCCTCCCAAATCCGCCTGCAGGGGGACACGCACGACCGAAGGGTTGCTACAAGTGCCCCCGGGCCCAAGGTTCTCCCAGCTCTTCGTTCAATTTTTGCGCCCTGGGGTGCTCTGGAGGCCGCGGGGGCCTTCTTGGAAACCTCGGGGGCACCTTGGGCCAGGGGCACTTCTGGCACCCCCCGACTTTGAGGCGCCTCGGCGCCGGAAACGAGGAGGGGCGAGCGTGGCTGAGCCTTTGCAATCGCAGTGTGTGCGCCCTGCCCAGCGCAGCCAGTCGGGCTTTTGTGGAATCGCGCGGCTTCCCTCCCGCGCACCACGTGGGAGCGGGCCCCCCTCGCCCGAGACCAGCGGCTGCCAGCGGGGCGCGGGCGCAGGTGTCGGCCACGCGCAGAGGGGTGTCGGGGGGGATGGCTTCTGTGATGCACCCCTGCTTTTCAGAAGGCGCGGGCCTTCCTTGTAGATGTAGGACTGGCGCCTTTCAGAACCAGCCTCCATCTAAGAAGCCTTCCACCATCCTCCTGCCCCCTTGTGCGTGCCGCCAAACGTGGCAGCCACGCAAGCGTGCCCGCGCGATCGTGGCCGCGCGAGTCTGGGATCGGGTCGGTTTCCTCCGCAGTCGGAGCGTGAGGGCGTGGTCCCGGACTGCACCGTGGGTTTGGATTTTGCCGGTAGGTCCTCCTCTTGCTGCTGCGGCTCCTCTCCTTCGCTTTCTTCCTCTGTCCCGTGCTGCTGTTCCTCATGTTTGACTATTATTATTATTCTTCTGCTCTTTCGCCTTCTTCTTCATCATCATTTCTTATCATTTTCCTCCCCTCACTCTTACCTGGACCCTGTGATTTCTCCCGCTTCATTCCCCCTGCAGGCAGGATTATTTCCAGAGTGTTGTGGGCAGCTGCGGCACAGGGCAGGAAGGAAAGATCGGCCCGTACTGTCGATGAAGCTCATGCCTCGTTCTGTCTCGACCCTCTCGCCCAGTGCCAGACTCCTCAATAGATCGTCGGGAGAGTTGCTGTTCATGCTTGTTCAGCTTGGGCGATTCCTCCCAGTTCGTCCAGCTCAAACTTCTGCAGTTTCTTATCCTTGTGCTCCTCCTACTGCTTGTTTGCTCATTACCACTGTCACTTCTAATACTACTGATCAGGCTCATGGCTATGGGCATGGCCATGTTCATGTTTTCCTCCTTCTGACCATTCGGCCGAAGGTTGTCCCCTCTCCCATGGAGCACTCCGCGTCAGTTCCACCGAGCGGGCTGTTTGGAGCAATTCCAACTGTTCGATTTGGATCCGACCTTGGTCTCTATCGCTACCATTATCCCATACAAAAATCGTGCTGGCACCCAGCGGCTTCATGCACCTGTGAGACGTCCGCCGCCACCCGCCGCGTTGGACGGCGACAGCTGGCGGGCCGCCGCGCATCCTCCAGGTTCCCGAGTGCATGTCTTGACAAAAGCTCGGCCAACAGTTTTGCTCTTACTGCTCTCGCTGCTCCTGTAATCATGGCTCAAGCAAACGCAATCAACATCTGCAGTAAGCATGTGGTGCTTTATCGAGGGCCCCCTTGCATCCTCTCCTCATCGACCCACGCCTGGCCATGGACACTAGGAATGCTGGTCTGATGCCGCTGCAAGTGTGACTGCAGCCTATGGCACCTCCAGCCAAGCGCGGGGCCTTGCTCTGTCTGTCAGCGATGTCCTGACATCCAGCAGATAATTACCGCAGCAGTGCTCTGCCCCATGCGAAATAGCCTTGTGACCGAGACGATGCTTTGCTATTCAGGCGTTTGCCCTGGGAGCCTCCACTTGACGGTGCCAATGCCTCCCTCCGCCGCCCTCCTCTTCCGCCACTCATTCCCTTCTCCCCCTGCCGCCTCTCCCCTCGTCCCCTTCCTCCCTTCCTCCCTCCAAACGCACCCTGGTGCGCTCGGATGTGTCCTCATGTATCCTCTCCGCCCGCCTCACTCCTTCTTCCGTCCCTCGTCCCCCTCGAGAGCAGACGAGAGAACCAGCAGACGCATGAGCAAGGGGCCTGCTGAGGTGGGAAGGAGAAGGGCGGGAATGATGGCGACAGCTTCGAGCGTGGATGTGCGTGGCGAGTGGCCCTTCTCGTCCTGGGAGGGTGCTCGAAGCTTGGCATCCTGTTCGGCGCCAGCAGTCGCTGCTGGCCCCCAGGCGCGCCCGGAGCTGAACGGGCTCGAGGGCCACCTCGGCTTCTACGACGGGGCGAGGGACCGCTGGCAGGCACCCCTTCCTCCGCCCGCAAGATGCAGCCAGTCAGTGCCTGTGGCCCCCTGGGGAATATAAGGGAGCGTTTGGAGAGGGAGGAGGAGGAGGAGGAGGAGGAGTAGGAGGAGGACGAGGACGAGGACGAGGACGAGGAGGAGGAGGAGGAGGAGGAGGAGGAGGAGGAGGAGGAGGAGGAGGGGAAGGGTGATCGGGTAAACGATTGGCATTAAGTGGGGCGAGGGTGATGGTGGTCGTGGTTATTATGATGCTGATGATGCTGATGCTGATGATGATGACGACGATGGTGGTGATGATAATGATGCTGATGATGCTGATGATGCTGCTGCTGATGATGATGATGATGCTGATGCTGATGGTGATGCTTATGATGCTGCTGATGATGTTGAGGAGGAGGAGGATGAGGAGAAGGAGCAGGAGGAGAAGGAGAAGCAGGAGGAGGAGGATATGAAGGAGGGGGACGAGGAGAGGTAGGGGGAACAGCTCGAGGTGCAGGGGAACATCAGGAGTAGAAGGGGGCGGAGGAGGAGGAGGAGGAGAAGAATGATGATGATGATGCTGATGATGATGATGATGATGATGATGATGATGATGATGATGATGATGATGATGATGATGATGATGATGATGATGATGATGATGATGATGATGATGATGATGATGATGATGATGATGATGATGATGATGATGATGAGGATGATGATGATGATGCTGATGATGAGGAGGAGGAGGCGGAGGAGGAGGAGGAGGGGATGAGGAGTAGGAGGAGGAAGAGGAGGACGAAGAAGAGGAGGACGAGGAGGAGGAGGAGTAGGAGGACAAATCTGGTGGTGCTTTCGGTGGTGATGATGATGATGATGGTGGTGGTGGTGGTGACGATGCTGATGATGATGATGACGATGCTGCTGATGATGCTGATCATGAGTATGTTGCTGCTGATGATGATGTCGCTGCTGCTGTTGCTGCTGCTGCTCATGATGCTGCTGCTGATGATGATAGTGGTGGTTATGATGGTGATGCCGATGATGCAATGGTGATGGTGATGGCCATGGTGATGGTGATGGTGGTGGTGATGATGATGCTGACGATGAGGATGAACACGATGATATCAAGGAGGGGGTGACGAGGGTAGGATGGGACGTCGATGATGTTGAGTACGCTGCTGCTGATGATGGTGATGATGATGATGACGATGATGATGCTGAGGATGCTGCTTGTGATGGTGATGATGTTGATAATGCTGATGATGCTGCTGCTGCTGATGATTATTCTGCTGATCCTGATGATTATGAATGTGAGGATGACGATGATACTGACGATGCTGCTGATGATGCTGATGATGATGATGCTCATGGTGATGATGATGCCGATGATGATGGTGATGGTGGTGGTGGTACTGATGATGATGATGCTGATGCTGATGCTGATGCTTCTGATGATGCTGATTCTAATGATGATGCGGAGTAGGATGACGATGATGATGATGCTGCTTCTACGGATGATGATGATGATGATGATGCTGATGATGATGATGATGATGATGATGATGATGATGATGATGACGATTATGATGATGATGCTGATGATGAGGAGGAGGAGGAGCAGGAGGAGGAAGAGGAGGAGGAGGAAGGAGGAACAGTTCAGCTGCCGCGAAGGAGGATGCGGGTCGTAGGGACGACGACGCCAGACGGCAGAGAGCGAAAGCGATGTCCCCCCTTCCCCCTTCAGCTCCCTGCGCCGGCGGCAGCGCTGAGCGGTTCGGCGGGCCCTCACTCCTCCCTTCTCCCTCCCCTTCCGTGTTAAGCCTGACCTCGTAACCAGTGCCTTATGCACGACGAGTAGGATATCGACGAAGACATCGGGGAAGAAAAGTCAACATCAACATACACTTTGGGAGCTTCGCGCGGATTCCATGCACTCGCGGAGCGCGCCAGGGAGGGGGTTTCAGCCCCTATCCAAGAAATCTGCGTGGGCCTCCGAGCATATATGGTGATGCCGTTTCTCTGATTCTTTTTCTTCTAGAGCTCCCGCTCGCTTGACACATGGTCTCTCTCTCCTGCGTCTCTCGCTTGTCGCAGGACTGTCTAATGTGTGCTGTGTGTTTACCGTGGCGTGGCTGCCTGCACCGCTGGCAGTTCTGTACGCATTCCTTTTCCTCGCCCTGTGCACAAAAAAAGATCTCCTGGCGTGGCCCCGAGGGCACCACATCGCGTGGCGAATCGCTGCTTCTGGCGTCCGCGCGGCTGCGCGGTGAAGTGCGCTGGTCAGGAGGACCAGTAGCAGCAGGTGCATGTGGGATGAAGAAGATCTGATGATGTTAATGCTGCTGATGATGCTGATGATGATTATGAATGTGAGGATGACGATGCTGATGATGCTGCTAATGATGATGATGATGATGATGATGATGATGTTGCTGATGCTGATGATGACGATGACGATTATGATGATGCTGAGGGTGGTGATGATGCTGATGATGCTGCTGATGACGCTGATGCTGCTGCTGATGATGATGCTGCTGATGATGATGTTGATGCTGATGATTATGTTGATGACGATGCTGGTGATGGTGATGAGGATGAGGATGATGATGACGATGACGATGACGATGACGATGACGATGATGATGATGATGATGATGATGATGATGATGATGATGATGATGATGATCATGATGATGATGATGATGATGATGATGGTGGTGATGATGATGATGGTGGTGGTGATGAGGATGCTGACGATTCTAATGATGGTGATGATGCTGCTGATGATGATACTGATACTGATAATAAGGATGCTGATGATGGGAATGATGATGATGATGATGATGATGCTGATGATGATGATGATGATGCTGATGATGATGCTGATGGTGATGATGATGATGACGATGATGATGCTGATGATGGTGATTATGATGATGATGATGATGATCATGATGATGATGATGACGATGATGATGATGATGATGAGGATGAGGATGAGGATGATGATCATGATGATCATGATGATGATGATGATGATGATGATGATGATGATGATGATGATGATGATGATGATGATGATGATGATGATGATGAGTGGTGGTGATGATGACGAGGAGGATGATGATGAGGAGGAGGACAATGAAGAGGAAGAAGGAGGAGATCACGCGGGGTCAACGTCACAGCTGGTGCTGTAGCGTGCCACTCTTTTAGCGCTCTGTTTGCAAACAGTGCCAATTGGCGTTGCGAGTCAGCCTCCACTGTCATAGACCATGAAGCCATCATTCTGTGTCAGAACGACCCCACCGTTCCCATGGGCCAGTCAGGGCCCATACCACTAGGGATCAACTTCCTCTCTGATCTATGGGCTTCCGCAATAATATGGATAGCAAAACTGCGGCAGCATGCGGTCCACCTCCGACTCGCGGGCAGCTCGGTCTCCCCGGCGCCCCGCGGGCCTCGGGAGAACCTGCGGGAGACGCAGAAATATGCGCTCTGTGAGTTCGGGGCACTGGTGCCCTGGTAGAGCACGTGTGACATACGCAAGATGCTGGGGCAGGGCTCGACCCAGACGGTGTCTTGGCGATTTCGTGGACAGTTTTCGTTTTGACTTCGTTTTGCAGGACAGGCTGAACGAAGGCAAAACGAGGGAAAACGAAAACGAAAGAGAAAAACACTGTTTTGGTCGAGCGCTGCGCTGGGGTGCCTGGGGTCCGCCCTGGGGCCGGGACGCTTTCCTTAATTCCCTCCTCCACCCGCTTTTGGCCACCGGCGGCTGGACCCCCCCCTCCTGTGGGGCTTGCCCCGGGCGTTCCCCGGCCGCTCCAGGCAGTCGGGGTCGCCGGAGAGCGCAGGGGAGCCCAAAGAGAGCGTAACGACCTTCACAAGGGCCCGAGGACATCGGAGGGACGCCAACAATACAACACCAGCAGCCCTGGCCAGGTCCATCCTGGGCCCTGGACTGGGCTATAGACCTCCAGGCCTAGGCCACGAGGGCCTGTACACCAGTCCAGGGCCCAGGATAGGCCTGGCCAGGGCTGGTGGTGTTTTACTGGGTGGACCTCTCCGAGGGCAGTTCGAACGCTTTTGTTTGTATAGTTCAAGACGACCTGAACGGCTTCTCAGCGGCTCCAAGATGGGCCCAAAGGGGCCTGCAGAAGACCCTTGAGAGCGCCCTGGAGGCAATTTTTTGGTACGTAGCACCCCGCAGTTGCGGATAAGAGTGAGGGGGCGGCGAGCACGTCGGCAGTCTGCGAGGCTCTGAAGAAGCCCGCCGCAGGCGCCGATGTTTGATGTTTATGTTTTTTGTGTATATATATTATATATTATATTATAATATATATTATATTATATTATATATATATATATATATATATATAATATATGTGTCTGTTTCTGTGTATCCCTGGGGGCGAGGCCGGGGGCCCCAGGACAGGTGCCTCGACCCTCCATGGGGGGACGGGGGGGGGCTGGAGCCTCCCTGGAGCAGCCCAGGCGGCCCAAGAGTGCCCCAAGAGCGCTCCACGACAGGCCCAGCAGGCTCCAAGAGGCCCCAGAGGGCGCCAAGAGGGCCCCAAGATGCCCAAGATAAGCCCAAGACGGCCAAAGAGGCCCCCAAGACGCTCCAAGAG